AATCAGAGCCCTCCACTGAAATTACTGACTCTGAGATCGAAAACGGTGAGGTTCAGTTCATCCTGCAGGAGAAAAAGTAAAACTTGACCTTGCCAGGAGCTCCGCGGAGGGGGCTGGTCTGACAGCCTGACCAACACGCACGAAGAGGCACACACTAGACAGTCGAGGCAGCATTTGTGTTCCAGGGAACAACTCACCTCGATGCCCAACTAACTAGCTGTATCTCTTCCCCGACTCAGTTCCATACACCATACACACGCATTCTCCTGTCTACCTTTCTCACAGGAGATGGTTTTTACCATGTGCCACCAAAAGAGTCTCAAAGAGGGCAGTGGTTAAGCAGGGGAGCTCTGGAGGCAGCTGTGCTGGTCGGAATCCCACTGTTCTTACCAGCTGTGTACCTTGGTCACATTAACCTCTGGCTGCCAAATCCCTCCTCTGTAAAATGTTATCCGTGGTCTCTGAGGATTAAACGAGTTACTACTACATATCAAACACTGGCTTAGCACATGGTAGCCATAGTGAAAGAACCAGGACCTCAGCCTGCAGAAATTCTGGGTTGGGGTCAAGGTCGGGGAGAGAGGCGGGTGACTGGTTCCTGCCAGGCCCGCCTGCCAGGCCTGCTGTACAACAGGGGGCCTCTGGGAATTAGGGGTCCTGCAGGAAGCATAAACCGATAAAGTAATGGCAGTGCTGGAAGCTACTGTTTACTGAGCACCTACTATGTGCCAGCCTCTGTGCTGGCGCTTTGACTTGGAGACCAGTTCAGACTTCTGTGTAGAACTTGAAAGGCCCCAAAAGTTGTGAGATTTGCCTCCCGTCTTCAGAGAGGTCGCTGTGGGGAGAGGGGCGCACAGGCTCTTTGGAGAACAGGGAATGTTCCTTCTAGCAGCAGCTGCTCTGAGACGTTCCTCAGCCCGGGAAAGGACCCTGGCACTTCCTGGGCCTCTGTGACGTGCTGGGCACCTTACGGCTGCTTTGCACGCATCACCTCGCTAAACCGTCTCACCAGCTCTGAGGCCAGAACTATCGCCCCACTCTGAGTTTGAGAGCCTGAGGCTCAGAAGGGTTCGCTGGCTTGCCCAAGGTCACCCACCACCAAATGGCAGATCCGGGACAAGAACACAGACTGGACCTCCAAGTCCACATCTCGCTTAATGTCCCAACTGTCTCGGGGCAGCAGACACTGTTCTTTTCTCTCTCTGCACAAGTGGATTCCCAGCGGCCACGGAGAACTGCTTCCGGAGCTGGAACCTGTGCTTTACTCAAAAACTCTCAAATGAATCGCAAAGGAAACTAGAAATTCTTGACAGAAGTAACTATTTACCACAAGGAAGAAGCAAAACGCCTCGTAGCAGAGAAGGACGTGACCCTGAGCCTCTCTGGGACAGCACTGTGCACACTTCACCCCCCTGGCCGCAGCAGCCCTGAAAGGCTGGTCTGTTGTTACACGCGTTGTACAAATGAGAGAACGGAGGTTTGGATGGGTAGGCGTGTTCCTCCAGCTCGGAAGTGGCAGAGCCGGGATCTGAACCACTTGTCTGTGTCTAGAGCCTCCGCTTCCTGCTCAGCTCACCCGGCTGCTCCTCGTTTACTCGCACTCTTGAGAAGCACGGACTTTGTCTCCAACAGGGTGGCGTCCTTGCTTGGGAGAAAGATCTGCCCGGCATTCTTAGGCCTCCCTGAGTCTCGTAAGGACACGGGGAGGGGAGGCCTCCAGAGGCCCAAGACGGTCCCAGGAAGCCAGGAGGAGGCAGGCAGATGGCCAGCCGCCTCTTGGCCAGGCTGCAGATTCCGGCCGAGGAAGGAGAATTTTCTAAAACAGAACGACGGGCCTGGCAGGCGTCCACACCGCGGCTCCAGGGCCCCGCGGGAACTACGTAGAGACCTGCACATTCCACTGTCCCTGAACGTTTTTTCCTTCTTAATTGGTTTCCTGGTTTTCCCAACTGCACAGGTGGACTCACTGGGAACCTGAGGCACCCACGTGCTTTAGGTTCAGAAGGAAATCCTGGAGTCCGCCTGCACGTCACGCCCTCCAGCCCTAGGGGGCGCTGTGGGGAGACAGCGCGGGAAATGAGAACCCCACAGGACACCTCTCCGCCCAAGGCTGCAGGGACCCTCCCCCATCCCTGTCCCCGAACCCAGGGCTTCCTGCTCTGACCAGCCCCTCACCTGATCCTGACCCAGGTTTTCTGCTGCCTGCAAGTGATCAGTACCCAAAGGCTGACCCGAAGGCTTCCCTTGGATTCCCCAGGGCACTGAGACTGTCTTCTGCGCCCCAACCCGATACTCCCTGAGCCTCGAGGGCCCTCCCTGACCCTGACCCAGCCCGGCCCTGGCCTCCCGCCCTCTACTCTTCACTGAGCCGGCCCAATGGCAGCTGCGGGGCCAGGAAGACCGAGTCCAAACCCCGCTGCTTCTCCCTCGGGGTCTGACCCGGGCATCGCATCTCACTGCGGACCTCGGGGTCCTCGCGGTGCTGGGTGTGGTCTCCACCCAGCAGCGCCCCCTGGGCTGTGGGTAAAACGAGATGACGCCTAGAACGTGCCTGGTCTGCGGCTGGCACCGAGCGGGGCCTTCACGAACCCAGTGAATGTGCGCTGTTCTCTTTATCTTTAGAATCGCTCCTCCCAAAATACCACTTCTCACCCCCAAGGCTCCGCCCACTAGGCTCCCTCTTCCGGGCCTGCCCCGCACAGCCTGGCTTACCTGGCAAGTCCCTGTCCACCTTTCACAGCTCAGCTCAAACAATTACCTCACCTAAGCCTCTCCTACACCCCGAACCCCAGGCCCCAGTGGGGGAACAGAACGCCCCAGCCCTGACGCTCCCACGGGTCTCCCCACGGGCCTGGGAACTCCGCAGGGAAAGGACGGAGTCGGAGTCTCGTTCTCTTCCCGTCTCCAGACCCAGGGCAGGCCTCGGGGCACAGCAGACCCGTGATGAAACACCAGTAATTGTGGGGGCCTGTAGGGAGAGCTTCCTGCACACACACCTCCTCGTCACCGACATCTCCTCGTCACCTACGGCATACACATCTGCTCCTGACTTTCTACCCGTGTATCTTCTTGTAAGTGGCATCGCAACCCTCCGAGGGCGGTTTTATCATCACCCCACTTTACAGACAAGGAAATGAAACGGCAGGTTACGTGACGCATCTAAGCCCACAGAGCCAGAAGCCGACTTGGGGTGTGAACGCAGGTCCCTCTGACCCAGACCACCTGCGCTTAAGCACGCCACCTAAGAGAACATGGAGATGCAGCGGAGCCCCTGGGTCCGACCCTGCGAGCATCTGGCCTTCTAGCCTCAGGACACAGAGCAGAGTGTGGCTTGCTCATGCCCCATGCAGGAGACCCCTTCGCGTGCTGCTTCAGGCAGAGCCACCCGACCTCTGAGCCACAGAGCACTCCTAACTTTGGGCAGTGAGGGTCGCGAGCAGTGGTTCTCAAAGCGTAGGCCCGAGACCAGCAAGCCTCGGCTGGGAGCTTGTTTGAAATGCATGTTCTCAGGCCCCACCCCAGAAGTGCTGAGTTGGAAACCCTGGGGGCTGCGCCCAGCAATCTGGTGTTAGGGACCCCCAGGGGACTGAGATGCACCAGATGAGAGACCCAGGCCTACTCTAAGCTGCCAGCTCCAGGCACGCGTGGAGGTGAGTGCAGTGATGGGGGCCGGCCCTGGGAAGTGAGCCAGTGACCCTGGGGTCAGCCCCGGCTCCGGCAGCTCTGTGACCCTCGGCAGGTCCCCGCCCCGAGTTCCAGATGTGGCCGCTGCCCTCCTGCTGCAGAGGATGTTGCACTTCTGCTCCAACCCTCACGACCATCGCTGCACCTCTCAATCATGGGGACTCAACGGTGGTGCAGGCCCTTGCGGCCGTGATAAAGATGTTCCTTAAGGAGACGAAGGCCACCACTAGAGGAACTCCCAATAGTGACACTTCTGTGTTGGAAGGACGGGGTTTGGGGGTGGGGGTTGCCGATGAATAAACTATATAACTATCAGAGGATGTCAGTGGAAATGGAATTAAATGTAGTCAAACTGGTAAGAAAGCACCATCTCCCTAAATCCTCTATCTGCACATCCTTCCCCTGGCAGAGATGCACGCCGAGGTGTCGGGTGTGACAAGCAGGGCCAATGACTCCTGTGCATTTCTGGGTGAGACTGGAGGCACTTTCTGGCTTCCTCTCTTACACCTTCCTGTACTATGTGAATTTCGTATAGTAAGCAATATTATTTTTCATCGAACAATAAAACCCGCTACTTAAAAACAGCTTTAGAGGCATATTATTTAGCAGTGCAGAAGGAAACATGAGGAGAGTTAAAAGAGATGTCCTTGGGATGGACGGGGAAAGGACACGGTGGTGACACAGGACACGTGTGTGTTATGTTGGTTTTAAAAAACTTATTAAAAATACAGAGAGATTCTGGCACAGGGTACGACGCAGAGGAACCTTGAGGATGTTAAGTGAAATAAGCCGGTTACAGAAAGACAAACAGTGCGTGATTCCACTTACACGAGGTCCCTAGAGGAGTCAGATTCAGAGAGACAGAAAGCA